TATATATATATAAAATATGTAATAATATTGTATATATTATACAATAATATGTATAATATAATATAATATAAATATATGTATAATATAAAAATATACAAATACGGTGTTTTGTCAAGTTTCCGTTTAAATATCGCTAAAAACACGGTTACTTGGTGTCTATAATTATTCACGTAAGCGTGTATATCCTTTAACAACGCGAACAAAATTATTTTGAGAATTTATTATCAATTATTCAGATTATTTCGAAAATTATTATTTTCGTGAGAATTTGATAGGGGTTGCGATTCGGCGGTCAACGCGAACGGCGGGGAAACGATGACAGTGGCGAACTCTATGGGAAATTCGCTGACACATCGCGAGCGCGTTTCGTTGACGAAAAGACAAAGGTGGCACTCACGTGACATTTTCGACCCTGACGACGCTCGGTGTCAACGCGGCGAGCAGCAAGCCGAAAGGCAGAAACGCGCCAATCAAATGCAGGATCTTCCTCCATGGTGAAACTCTGCAAATTAACGCGGATTAATGAAAAGAACGCCGGCAATTAACCTGTTAATTTGTAGGGTATTTTTCAAGATCAACGTGCAGAAAATTGGCGAGATTTAGTGCTTTGTCGTGACTAAGCACGGGGGCAATCACTTTAAAGCGTGCCGTTTTCGTTTCGTCGGGGAGCACATACTTTCTATTATATATGTCTACATGCATGCGTTTCAAGCTACTCGGAAAAGAAAGTTGTTTCCATGGGTTTCGAAACCAGAAGATTGAACATCGAAGAGTAACAACTAGTACTTAAAAGAGAGAAGTTACGGCGCTGAGAATTTTTTGGGCCTAGAAGAATTTTCGGTCATCTTAAAGTTCCAAAGCTTTAACGATTTCGTTTCTACAAATTCTGAAATATTTTTTATTCTCGAATCCGATTCAAGATCCGAGTTCGCGAAGATTTTCAATTTTTAGCGGATCTTAAAATTATCTAAGATACTAGGGTGAAAACTGTGCGAAACAAATATTTGATTCGGTAATTATAATCCGCGACAAAAAAAGACGGCACACCCTTAAATACGACTATTTCTTCCATACGCAATAGACGTGCTGATTTTAAACAATTTCTTTGTTTATAAGCATGATAAAAATCTGTAAGTATGGAGAGAGAGAGAGAGAGAGAGAGAGAGAGAGAGAGAGAGAAATATATCTGTCTCTTATACACATCTAGATGTGTATAAGAGACAGATATAGAATAAATAAGAATAAAGATATAGAATAAATGTATAGAATAAATATAGAATAAATATATAGAATAAATGAGATGTGTATAAGAGACAGATATAGAATAAATAAGAATAAAGATATAGAATAAATGTATAGAATAAATATAGAATAAATATATAGAATAAATGAGATGTGTATAAGAGACAGATATAGAATAAATAAGAATAAAGATATAGAATAAATGTATAGAATAAATATAGAATAAATATATAGAATAAATGAGATGTGTATAAGAGACAGATATAGAATAAATAAGAATAAAGATATAGAATAAATGTATAGAATAAATATAGAATAAATATATAGAATAAATGAGATGTGTATAAGAGACAGATATAGAATAAATAAGAATAAAGATATAGAATAAATGTATAGAATAAATATAGAATAAATATATAGAATAAATGAGATGTGTATAAGAGACAGATATAGAATAAATAAGAATAAAGATATAGAATAAATGTATAGAATAAATATAGAATAAATATATAGAATAAATGAGATGTGTATAAGAGACAGATATAGAATAAATAAGAATAAAGATATAGAATAAATGTATAGAATAAATATAGAATAAATATATAGAATAAATGAGATGTGTATAAGAGACAGATATAGAATAAATAAGAATAAAGATATAGAATAAATGTATAGAATAAATATAGAATAAATATATAGAATAAATGAGATGTGTATAAGAGACAGATATAGAATAAATAAGAATAAAGATATAGAATAAATGTATAGAATAAATATAGAATAAATATATAGAATAAATGAGATGTGTATAAGAGACAGATATAGAATAAATAAGAATAAAGATATAGAATAAATGTATAGAATAAATATAGAATAAATATATAGAATAAATGAGATGTGTATAAGAGACAGATATAGAATAAATAAGAATAAAGATATAGAATAAATGTATAGAATAAATATAGAATAAATATATAGAATAAATGAGATGTGTATAAGAGACAGATATAGAATAAATAAGAATAAAGATATAGAATAAATGTATAGAATAAATATAGAATAAATATATAGAATAAATGAGATGTGTATAAGAGACAGCATATATATTATATATATAATATAAAATAATATAAATTATAATGATGTAATATAAATAATGACAGATAACATAATAACGTAACGGCATATCAAATGAAGAACTGTCCAGTGACATAACATCTTCTTCAGTATCAATCAACTGTCTTTGATTATTATTCGAGTTCGGAGTGCTCTGACATATGCGGATAATAATATAAGAATGCAAAGAAGAGAGAGAGGAGAAAATTGTCGCAAAAATGAGAATTAATGTTTGAGAGAGATATATGATGAGGACAGTATTAAAAAATGCACAATTCATAAGTGAATCCAAATGATTCAATAATGGAGATTTCAAAACGAAAGGACACGTTCGATACAAAATATTAATGAAATTGCAGATCTAAATGAACGAAAGAATGAAGTTATGCAACGAGAAATACTTCAACAATGTTGAATATTTCACGAAAATGTAAACACCGAAAAATTTTCATTGCAACAGC